AAATGGGAAAACTTACAACTATCATTAATAGGGAGAATATCAACGATCAAGATGAATATATTATCCAGAATTTTATATTCGTTTCAAACAATTCCAATTAGGCTTGGAAAAGATTACTTTGAAGATCTAAAAAATTGTGTTGAAATATGTATGGCAGGGTAAGAAAGCGAGAATAAAACTAAAACTCTTGCAAGAAGCTAGAATAAGAGGAGGATTTGGTTTGCTAAATTGGGAGTTGTACTATCAGCTGCAAATCTGATGTGGGTTAAGGAAAGGAATCATTAAGAAATACTAGATTGTTGACATTAGAAGGACATGATCTGTTGTTGAGTTGGCATGCCTTCCTATGGTACAAAGGGACTAAAACACAGGGGTACTTTAGAAGACATTATATATGGGAGGCTCTGTGGTTAAACTAGGAGAAGACTAAAAGGCAATGTTATTTGAAAATTCCAGTCTGGCTATCAATTATTGAAGCATTTTCTTATCCTGTAATATATAAAAAGGAACAAACAGTTAAATATGGTGAAATATTGAATGAAAAGGGTGAACTTAAATCTATGCAAAAACTAGAGGAACAAGGTATAAAGATGAATTGGTTTTCATATGCACAAATATGTTCTACATATGATAAAGATTTTAAAACAGAAGGTTTCTATGATAAGTTGACTGATTTATATAAGATATTGACAGGTACTGATGAAAAGGTGATTAAAAAATTGTATGGAAGGCACAGCCCCCTCCTCCTCAAAAGGGTCATCTACCCATATATTGGTGCGGTTGTTGGTTATTCGCCTCAGGGCTCTGCTCCTGGTGTTGAGGGAAGCCCTCTGATGATGGGAGAAGTGAGGGGAGGGTTCAGCCCGGAAAGATCACGGATGGAAGGGGTTGGGTGGTAATCCGCTTTCTTAGAGGACCTTCCTCTTATCTTTGGTCTCGATCAAATATGGATCCAGGGCCTCACCGAAGAGTTTCTCACCCACATAAGGAGCTGATGCCAGCTTCCACTTACGGCATGATTCGGATTGCCAGTTCCGGAGCCAAAGTAGTCGTCTAGCTGTGATTGAGGTGGCTCTGGAGGCGAATTTTGCTGAATTCAGAGTGGCATCCACCGTTAAATTCAGCCGCTGCAATAATTTTGTTTAGATCTTGGTGAGATCTAAAATCAGACGGCGGAAGGCGCTCCTGTAACTGGTGCAGCCAGTGGAGTGAGGCTCTGGTAAAAAATGATGCTACTGTCGATGCTCAGACAGCCCAAGCCAAGGCCTGATGGTTACGTTTGAGCGTTTGCTCTGATCTTTTGACCTCAGGCTTGAGCACATCCTCTGGTTTGATGGGGCTGCCAGAGGAGAAGGAGGCCACTACTGGAGCATCCACTGAAGGAACCGCAAGGGCAGAGGCCAAGGCTGGTCCTACATTGTAGAAACGCTGATCGTGTGATGAAGGTCTAGGCCCAGGAGCAGGGGTGGCACACTGTTCTTTAACAAGGTCCAAAAATAACAGAGGAGAAGGAAGAAACTCTGTGTGGACCACAGGTTTAGAGAAAAGAATATCCCCTTGGGTTGAAGGATTACTCTGGGGTTCAGGTGCCACCTTTTCTGGGGTCAACTGGGCCTTCTGTAATAGGGGTTTACATAAGGTTGGCTTAAAGACCTCCATTGGGGGAGGGCTGGTCCTGCAGGAAACTTTCTGCCTCAGACATATATGGATCTCTGATCTCACCCTCTTCCTCCTCTGACCTGGAGGATTGGCAATGCTCTGAGGGGAGTGAGTAATCCCTTTCCCCATAATCCCTCCAATCAGATTGAGTAGAGGGCCTACCAACCTCCTGAGGTCTAGGGTATTCCCTATGTCTAGGAGGGGCATTTAAAGAGGGATTGGGGAACCAATATTGTTCACCCCCCAGAGGGTGAAAGAGCTGTTGGGATCCCTGTGCTAATCCTCATTGAATGGCAGAAGAGACTACTAGGGAAATGTCAGAGGAACCACTGCCTGAGTGGGCTTTTCCAGGACGTAGGCCAGCAGCAGTGGAGGTGAAAGTAGCTTCGGACCTATGTCTAATGCTAGACATAGGAGGTGGAATTGTAGGGGCCTGAAGAAAATGGGGTCCTGATTTGCTAAGGTCTTGGGGACTCCCTTCCTCCTCTGTTACCATAGGAGACCAGGTTTGGGTATAGGAGAAGGAAGAAGAGTGGACTCCCTCTTCCCTGGGCCCCACAATTTGGCCAACCTGTGCTTCCATTGGAAGGGAAGCCTGCTGCAAATGTCTCCTCATTTGGTCCAGAGTTTTAGCAAACTGCCTCTCAAGCACAGCATGCCTCCTTTTTTCAGCCTTTAATTCAGCTTGGGAAACTTTCTTTGGAGTGAAGGCTTTGGCCCTGATTTTTGCCACTGCTTCCCTTTGAGCTGACTGGCCATGCTACCTCTTCCTTTTTTCTTCTTCTTCTGGGCCAGGAGTGTGTGTGCCTCTAATCCAGAGGCCTCTGCCTGCTTGGAGGCCTCCATGATCAAACTAGGGGTACACAAGAGGTGATGGAAGCAACCCTCAATATATGTCCCCTGATCTCACTGGGATAATTCTCTCAGAAATATTGCCACAGGATAAGACAAACCGAAGTTTCTGACCAATTAAAATGGCTGCTGGCTTCATGCTTTATGCTGAGGTAATAAAATGGCTGCCTGCACTTGGAGAAATTGTTGGAGGGCCTTTGTCGCTCTATAGGCTCTAAGAGCCCCGAGCGAAGAAAGAAACCCAGGAGTGAAAACTTTTAGCCTTGGAGCAGCTGTGTGTCAGAGGCTTGAGATCAAACCTGTAACCTTGATGAAATTGTTGGAGGGCCTTTGTCGCTCTATCGGCTCTAAGAGCCCTGAGTGAAGAGTGAAACCCAGGAGCTAAACTTTTAGCCTCGGAGCAGCTGTGTATCAGAGGCTTGAGATCAAACCTGCAACCTTTTCCAGCTAATTGCTAGCTACAATCCTTAACTCTGCTTCCAAGACACAAGGTCATTTTGACTAGGAGCTGAGGCAAAGCTGGGGGACCTGGCTAGAGGCTGGCCTTTTATATGGTCATTTTATATGGTCAACAATCAATGGTCATTTTATGCAAATTACCTAAGAAAATAATAGAAATGGAGTGTGAAAACATATGTATAGTGGGAGATTTCAATGCAATAGTGAATGCGAAATTGGACTATAAAACCAGAAAAACATATTACAAAATCTAGGAAAATACTCCCAAAAACTTTTTTCAAAATGGTGGAAGAATTAGGAATTCAAGATGTATGGTGAGAAATTCATCTTGGAAAAAAATCAATATTCATTTTACTCAAATAGACACATGTCTTGGTCCAGAATAGATATGGTGTAGATATCAGCAGAATTAATATCTAATATACAATAAATAAATATTGAAATAAGTACTTGGGCAGATCATACAACCACCCCAAAAAAGAATATACAAATGGACTTAAAAAAAAACATAAGTTGAGTTTAAAAAATAAAAGGAGCTAAACAATTTTTTTTTGAAAATGCAAATAAGCCAGAGAGATGGTTGGCATATAGATTGAAAAAGGAGAAAGAAAAGAAAATGATCTTTCAGCTAATAGATGATGATGGGATTCTGTATTATCAAAATGATGGCAAAAAGAAAATAATTCATAATTATTATGATAAACTATATAATCAAGACCCAGTATCAGAAGATAAAATAAAATAATATCTAGAAAAAGCAGAATTACCTACAGTACTAGACACAGTTAAAGCAGCATTAGAAGCAAGAATAACAATGATAGAATTAACAGAAGCTATCAAAAAAACAAAAGAATGGCAAAACATCAGGTACGGATGGTCTACCTGCAGAGTTGTACAAAACTTTACAAAACCCTATAAGCAACATAATGTTGGAAGTATTTCATGAACTATTGTTGGAGGTGAAAGTACCAAATTCTTGGATGGAAGCATATATTACTCTCATACCGAAAGAAGACTTAGATCTAGGGCAGATAAATAATTACAGACCGATATCATGATTGAATGCGGATTATAAAATATTTGCTTCAATAATACCAGAAAGATTAAAGATATTTTAAAACAATTTATTCATACAGATCAAAATGGCTTTTTACCTAAGAGACAAATTAAAGATAAAATGAGAATAATCTTGAACACACTGGAATACTATGAAGCACACCCAGAGAAGCAAATGGCATCGATTTTCCTTGATGCACAGAAGGCGTTTGATAATGTGAACTGGCAATTTATGTTAACACAACTAAAAGAAATGGACTTTGGGGAGAGATTAATAAAGATGATTAAGGCATTATACTATAAACTAACTGCTACGATGATGGTAAATGGAGACATGACTGAAAAGGTTAATATTAATAAGAGTATAAGACAAGGAAGTCCCTTGTCGCCATTGTTATTTGTATTGACACTAGAAGTATTAGAAATATTAGACAAAATAAGGAGATAAAAGGTATGGAAATAAAAAAGGAAGAATATAAATAACAAGCATTTGCAGATGATTTAGTTTTTATTTTAGAAGCTCCACAAAAGACTGGACCCAAGTTAATAAAAAAAATGGAAGAGTATGAGAAAATAGCAGGATTGACAATAAATAGAGAAAAAACTAAGACCTTATGAAAAACATCACAGAAAAACAGAAAAAAGAATTAATGGAAAGATTAAATATTCAGATCACTAAAAAAGAAAGATATTTAGGGGTACAATTAACCACAACATGTGTAATAATTAAGGAAGATAATTATTATAAATTGATACAACAAATTAAACTGGATTTGAAAAAATTTGCAATTATCATTAATAGGAAGAATAGCTACAATTAAGATGAATGTACTGCCAAGATTATTGTACTTGTTTCAAGTAATCCTGATCAAATTGGAAAAAATATTTTGAGGATTTTTATAAAATAGTAAAATTTATTTGGCAGGGGAAAAAAGCAAGAATTAACTTTAAAATGTTACAGAAAACAAGAACTAGAGGTGATTTTGGTCTACCAAACTGGGAATTATATTATCAGGCTGCGGTGTTAACATGGATGGAAAAGTGGATTGAGCTGAGAAACACAAGACTATTGACCTTGCGGGACATGATCTGCAACTGGGATGGCATGTCTTCTTATGGTATGGGAAAAGTAAGATACATGGTTACTTTCAAAGACATTATATAAGAAATGCTTTATTGTTAGTATGGGATAAAATTAGAGATCAGCACTATTTGAAGATACCAGTCTGGCTTTTGACAATAGGAGCACCTATACATCCGAATATGATTAATATGGGAAATATTGTGAGTTAAAAAGATATTTTGAATGAGAAGGGTGAGCTCAAAACTGAGCAAGAATTGAATGAACAAGGGATCAAAACAGCTTGGTATTCACAACGGCAAATACAGTCTAGATATGAAAAAGATGTAAAGCTATATGTTTTTTACAAAGAGCTGACAGAATTGGATAAGATCCTAACAGGAACTGATGAAAGATTGATTTAAAAAACTGTACAACTTATTGAGCATTAAATTGGAAGAAGAGCAAGTGAAGGAGACAATCAGTAGTGGGATTCAAAATGTTTTACCACCAATCCGGTGGGTGTGGCTTGCTGGGCATGCTTTCCATGCGTGCACACACTTTGCATGCATGCGCCAAATGTGCAGTTTGCACAGGTACAGAGGTGTTTGTGCAGGCTCAGAGGCATTCCAACTCACCTCCTGAAATATTCTTGTTGGGGATCTTACCTGAAATTTATAGTAAAGAGAATGTATATTTGATTATTCATGTCTTAACTGCAGCTAGAATTGAATTTGCACAGAATTGGAAAAGTGAAAAGATTCCTACTGATAAAAGCATGATAAATAAATAATAAAATATTAATAAATAAAATATTAGAATGTGCAGAAATGAATTGGTTAATGCAATTAAAGAGAAGGAACAAACTGAATATTATATGATATGGGAATCTTTTTATTGATAGAAAAAAAATATGAAAGTTAGAGACTAGCGATTAAAAAATATGCTTATAGAAGTGAATAAGTGATGAGGACTGTTATAAAAATCAGACATATTATGTATATTTGCAATAATTTAAGAGTAGAGAATTAATATTAATGTAAAGATTATGGCTGGAAATTTTAATGGTTATTGCACAAAAATATTGTACCAGACAACACACTGTTTAATGTATGATGGATTGTTTGTATCAAAATAAAATTAAAAAACTATTAAAAAAGAAAACACCTAATGAATGAATTTCTTCCATAAGACTTTTTAAGACTGAGGAAGTAGGAGTAATCTGAAAGTGATGGAAATATGCAATAAAAAACAAGACTAACTTTTCACTGTCTTCAACAATAAAATCAAAAATATACAGAGAAGTTCAACATAAATTCTCAAATAAGGTAGTATGGGAAGTTCTTGACTTGTAGCCCCAACTGGGACCAAAATTTAAGTCATGTTGCTAAATGATTCAGTAATAAATTGCAACTTCATAAGACTGCATTGCAATGGTAATCCCAACAACTCCCATAGACATAATTAACCAAATTCCACTGAGAATCTCAATTCAAGCTGTTCTAGGCATGGTGTCTTTCAGTCCCAAGTCTCGATAATGTAAGGGATTGACTTCAACACCCCACCACCACTACCAATATCTCCCTTCCATCTCTGCCCTTTTGGCCCTCCTGCATTCTGTCTTGTGGGGCAGCAAACACCTCTAAACTGTATAGCTCTGGGGCTGCTAACTATGCTGTGCTTAGGTGCTTCTTGGTACACTATATTCTCTGGGACTGCAACAGAGCATAAAAGTCTTTACAACATGAAGCCCAGCCCAGCCCAGCGATGCAGTGCAAAGAGGTTTCTTTCTTCTCTTGCCATAGCTCTGGAGCTGTAGGAAGCCCCTAAACCACCGTGCATCACGAAGTCCTGCCCCAGCTAGCAGCTTGGTCTAAAGCAGGGGTTACCAACCTTTTGGACCTCGGGGACTGCCAAACTCATAATTTTAAATCCCGTGGACCAGAGACCCTGGGAAAATCCCCAAAAAAGTCTGCAGGAAAATTCCCCACCCCATTTTCCTACCAATTGATCATTCTTTATTTGGGATCACAGGATACCGTCTCCAGCTCCATTCTCGGGGGGGGGGGGAGACTTTTGGCTTTATGCAGGAATGCAGCAGAAGCAGCAGAAATCTTTCTTTCTCTCCCCCAAGTTCCTCCAGAAATGAGTCTTTGTGAGACTTGTCGTACTGGCGCAGCCTCTTGGAGCAGGATGCCTTGCAGGGTCCCAAAGACTCATTTCTGGCAGACTTTGGGGGAGAGAAAGAAAGACTTCTACTGCTTTCCTTGCATGCAGCCAAAAGCAGATGAAGAAAGAAGTGGAATGAAGCAGCTTGGTGGCCAGGTGAGGCATGTGGGGTGAGTGAGGCAAGTCCCCCCACCCTTTCCCACCTCCCCTCACTACCTCATTTTGTTCACAATGCAAGCAATGCAAGCCTTGTGTTTTGACGGACCATGTGGGCAGCGCAGGTTTGTATTCCTGCGCAGCCTGCATTAATTGCTTAGGGGGGTGCTTTGGGGTGACATTTCTCTGTGGACCACCAAAATTTTCTCACAGACCATCAGTGGTCCCCAGCTCACTGATTGGCGACCACTGGTCTAAAGGGCTTCTTGGTGCACCATGGCTGTGGAAATCATCATGCATGACTTGGGGCAGAAAACTGTGTGGCCAGTAGCTGCTTCGCAAAGGACCAGGCTGGGCATACTTAGTCAGCAGTAGGAGAAAAAAAAAGGTGAAGGTCAGTAGTGTTGTATATAGAGATTTGCATACTTGTAATACTACATTCTGATTGGACCGCTATTGCTGCCTATTGATTGGTTACTAAAAGACTGTTGCGATTGGTCCGCCTGACGGCGGGAACTTTAAGAAACTGTCATTGGCCGTGAGCCACGAGCAGCCGCTATAAAAGAGGCTGCTGCGGCTCCGGTTTTGTTGAAGTTACTGAGAGCTAATAAAGAGCTGAAATTCACACTGGTCTCGAGTCAGATCTTTCCCGCGACAGAACACTGGCGACGAGGGTGGTATGCTGAGACAAGGAGACCAGCAAGCACATGGCAACGAGAACCGAGCAACCGACGAGATGGCTGGTAACAACTCGCCACCCGCACCGTTCAACCCAGCAGAAGAGGACTGGGAATCGTACATTGACAGATTCCTCATGTTCCTCGAGAGCAACGAGCTACAGGGGATAACCGATCAAAGGAAGAGAGCCGTATTCCTGACGCACTGTGGCCCCACAGTCTTCAAAATGGCCATGGCATTGGCCAAACCCCAGGACGTTAAGCAGATGGCGTGGCCAGATTTGAACCGGCTACTGAGAGCCCATTACGCGCCAGCTGTCTCCAGCCTTATCTGAAGACACGAATTCTACAAACGAGATCAAAGAGAAGGCGAGAGCATCGGAGATTTTGTGGTGGTCCTAAGAGACATTGGAGGGGCATGCGACTTTCTCAACATGGACGAAGCCATGAGAGACCGCGTGGTCCTTGGACTGAGAGACCTTATGCTACAAAGCCGACTGCTGACCTGACCCAACATCACCGTAATTGAGGCCATCGCTGAAGCCACCGCCGCGGAAGCAGCGAAAAAATCAGCAGCCACTATGTGACAAATGAATACAGCTGCCCAAGAAACTCAGGGCGACCCAAACCAAGCCCGAGACAATAAATCAGAGGGCAACCAGAAGACCGCTGCCACAACCACCCACCATGAGGACATCGATTCCTCACCCAACGACAAGGAAGAAGAAGAAATACATAAGCTCCAGTCGGAATGGAACCGACGAGGAAAGAGGGAGAGGAGATCGGAGTTCCATTGTGCTGGATGCGGAGGAGACCACCCACATTCCGAGTGCCGTTTCGTCGACGCCATCTGCAGACACTGCGAAAGACGGGGGCACATCGCCAGAGTCTGCCGGAGCAGAAAGAACTACAGCCCTAAAAGACAAGGCAGCACTCCCCCCAGAACCAGAGAGAGACAGACCGGAAGTTGTTGGAGCCGAGAAAACAGAAGTAAGCGGCTCAACGAGAAGGAGGAAACACACCAAACAATTCTCATTGGCCATTCAAGCACAACCGATGCCAGAAAGGTACGCATCAACGTTAACATAGAAGGACAGCCATGCGAGATGGAGGTGGACTCCAGCTCATATCTATCCATGGTATCATGGAATACCATAAAGAATTTGATACCAGATATAAAAAGAGAAGAACTAGAAAAACAAAACCTGACTCTGAAAGACTACCAGGGAAACAGGATCCCTGTAGTTGGACTCGGACATTTCCAAGTCAAATTCAAGAGACATACTGAAATTCTTCCATTGATGATCGTCAACTGAGATCGCCCTAGCCTGCTTGGACTCGAATGGTTCGCACCCCTGGGAATCGGAGTGACCGGAATTAATAGCGTCACCGAGACGGACTGGGAAGAGAGCCTGATGAAGGAGTTCCAAGACGTATTCGACGGGAAGCTAGGCAAATACCAAGGGACCCCTATATCATTTAATTTGAATCCTAACATAGCGCCAATCAGACTTAAGGCCAGACGAGTTCCCTTTGCACTAAAACCGAAAATCGATGAGCAATTGAACAAACTCATTGCACAGGGGGTGTTGGAACCCATCGATCACGCAAGATGGGAAACTCCAATTGTGACTCCCATTAAGCCAGATGGGTCCATGCACATCTGTAGTGACTATAAGGCCACCCTTAACCACGCGCTACAACAAAGCACATACCCCGTTCTGGTAGTCCAGCACCTTTTACATTCATTAGGGGGAGGAAAAGTTTTCGCAAAGCTTGACCTTGTGCAAGCATATCAACAGTTGCCAGTCGACCCCGAGACAGCAGAGGCACAGACTATTGTGATGCATAGGGGGGCATTCAAATGCAACAGACTGCAATTCAGCGTCAGCATGGCCCCAGGCGTTTTCCAAAGCCTGATGGAGCGCCTTTTGACAGGACTCAAGGGGGTGGTCCCTTATTTTGATGATGTATTGGTATCCGTCAGGGACAAAAAGCAACTGAAAGACCGGCTGAGGGAAGTCTTGCGAAGATTTAGAGAAGCGGGACTCAAAGTCAAAAGAGAAAAATGCCAGCTAGCCACAAAGCAGGTTGAGTTCCTGGGATACCTCATAGATGAAGAAGGGATCCACCCCACCGGGAAAAAAAAGAGCTATCAAAGAAGCACCCAGACCCAAAAATAAAGCTGATTTACAGGCATTTTTGGGACTCATTAACTTTTACAATGTCTTTTTGCCGCAGAAGGCAACAATAGCGGAACCATTGCACAGATTACTGGATTAAAAAGCTATCTGGACCTGGGGCCGACGAGAGGAAGCCGCTTTCCAGGGAATTAAAGACTTATTGACATCTGAATCTGTGTTAATTCAATATAGCGACACCCTGCCACTAAGTCACCTGCGATGCATCACCATTCGGCGTCGGCGTCATACTCAGCCACACATTACCTAACGGCAGAGAGGCACCGATCGCCTTCTACTCCAAAACACTGTCAAAAGCTGAAAGAAATTACAGCCAACTGGACAGAGAAGCCCTAGACGCAATAACAGGGGTCAAAAGATTTCACGAATACCTTTACGGTAGGACATTCTCTCTAATTACAGACCACAAGCTGTTATTGGGAATACTCGCGGGGAACAGGGCCACTCCCAACATCCTGTCACCACGGATGACAAGGTGGTCAGAGTTCCTCACCGCATACAGTTACAAGCTAATCCACAGACCAGGAAAGGACATACCCCATGCGGATGCCCTGAGCCATTCACCCCTACCAGAACTGGATGACAACCCGGCACCTACCACGTCCACTCTACAAATTGAGACATTACTGAACCTTCCCATCACTGCATCAGACATCGTGAAAGAGACAGCAAAAGACACACAGATGGCGCGGATTTTAAACTGGGTAGGTAGGGGCTGGCCAGAAACTGTTAATGATGAAACTTTTAAACCCTTCTGTAACCGACAAACTGAACTTTCCATTGTAAAGGGATGTATACTGTGGGGGGATAGGGTTGTCATTCCGGAAAGACTGCAGGAAAAAGTATTGTGTATGTTACACGAAGGACACCCGGGCATTGTAAAAATGAAATCCCTGGCCAGGAGTTACGTCTGGTGGCCAGGGATGGACAAGGACATTGAGACATGGGTGGGAACATGCACGAAATGCCAAAAATCCAGACCTACCCCCCCTCCTGCACCGATCCTCAACTGGGAGACACCCAGGGGCCCCTGGTCGAGGATCCATATAGATTTCGCAGGACCCACAAAAGGATATACATTTCTAATAATTGTCGACGCTTACTCCAATTGGCTGGAGGTCAGCGTCATGCATTCCACAACGACAGAAGCCGTCGTCAAACAGTTAAGAAAATTATTTGCAACGCATGGGTTACTGGACCTATTAGTCTCAGACAACGGCCCGCAGTTCACAGCGTTGTCTTTTGAAAAATTCCTCGCCGAACAGGGCATACGGCATGTCCTAACAGCGCCCGCTCACCCAGCTACAAACGGACGGGCAGAACGCATGGTTCAGTATACCAAAGAGGCATTAGATAAGCTTGACACAGGGGACATTCAAGACAAAATCGACAAAATGCTAACCATCCAACGTATAATACCGAGCACATCGACTAACAAGAGCCCAGCAGAACTTCTGATGGGCAGGAAACTACGGTCGCACCTGGATAGATTACACCCCACATACAACCCTGAAAAGCCACCAGACTTCTCGAGTAAGTACCGCACATTTACAACAGGGGATCTGGTATATGACAAAAATCTTACGGGGGACCCACTTTGGACACCGGCTAGAATAACCCAAATAATGGGACCCCGGTCATACCGACTAGTAACAGAGGATGGAAGAAGCTGGAAAAGACACATAGACCAACTAAGGTCTAGAACAATAGAACGAAACACCGACAACCCTAGGCACACTGAACAGACACACACACAAGTACCACACCAAACCGACAATAATAAAACCAGAGAGGGGGGAGATCCCTCAAATGCAAATAAAAGGGGAGGGGGAGACCCTCCGGTAACACAACAAAAAACAAATCACCAACCAACACCAACAGTAAGCCCATCAAAAAATAAAAACTACTTACCTGCAGGCGACTTCGGAAAAAGGGAGCTGGCAACAGAAAAACAACACGAAGCCACTCCTGGAAGAAGCAGCCCAGCCGACTCAATCAGCCCGGGTGGACCAGGCGGGAGCGGCAGAGCCGACTCAACCAGCCCGGGTAGACCGGGTGGGAGCGGCATGGCTGACTCACCCTTCCAGGAGGTTCGACGGAGAAGGACAGGAGAGTCAGCGATCCCGTCTGAACCAGCCGAAGACAACACCACAACTGAATTGCACAGGTCAAGTAGAAAACATAAAAGCCCCACCTACTTACGTGACTATGTAACGGAGGTTGGACCAAACCAAGTGGGGAGGGGTGTTGTATATAGAAATTTGCATACATGTAATACTACATTGTGATTGGACCGCTATTGCAGCCTATTGATTGGTTACTAAAAGACTGTTGCGATTGGTCCGCCTGACGGCGGGAAGTTTAAGAAACTGTCATTGGCCGTGAGCAGCCGCTATAAAAGAGGATGTCGCGGCTCCGGTTTTGTTGAAGTTACTGAGAGCTAATAAAGAGCTGAAATTCACACTGGTCTCGAGTTAGATCTTTCCTGTGACAGAACACGTAGCACAACAGGGGCTGTGGAGTATTAGAGGCCAAAAGGGCATAGATGGGAGAGAGATTGGTGAATGGAGAAAATTGAAGGATTCCTGCAAATGTAAGTGCAGGTACGCTGCAAATGTCTGAGAATTTACAAGGAGGAATTTGTCAAAATATTTTACCAAGTGAAACTTTCCAAGAGTTCTTTGCTCTTGTAGAAAATGCAAATTAATCTTAAGTTTCCTTAAGAAGGAAACAGCCATGTGTCCTGATGTCTGATGTGAATTCTGAATGGAGAGGGTGTAGATCAAGGATTTAAGATTTCATTTCGCTGGAATTATAGAAGTACAGGAAGTCCTCAACTTACCACAGTTCATCTAGTAACCATTTAAAGTTGCAATGGCACTGAAAAAAATGACTTATGACCATTTTGCATACTTACAATTATTGCAGCATCCCCATGATCACATGATTTACGTTTGGATGCTTGACAACTGATACATATTTATGATAGTTGCAGTGTCCCTGGTCATGTGGTCATCTTTTGCAGCCTTTTGACAAGCAGTCAACGGGAAAGTCAGTTTCACTTAAGAACTGTATTATTAATTTAACAACTACAGTAATTCACTTACAAATGTAGCAAAAAAAGTTGTAAAATTGGGCAAAACTCACAACAACTTTCTCACTTAGCAACATAAATTCTGGGCTCAATTGTGGATCATAAGTCAAGTACTACCTGTATATGTCTATAGCAACTGACAATTACAATTTTATGTCAATATGCTATCCATTTCTTTATTATTATTTTATTATTATAATTCACTCTTGAACGTGTTTATTGCCAAGCTTCAGCCATCCCTCTTATTATCAGCCCTCGCAATGTGACCTACACATTTCAGAAGGATTACTCAGAATAAAGTTTCTCTCACTCACTCACTCACTCACTGTGTGTGTATGTGTTTGTATGTACATGTACATATGCCTATTTTTTATTATGTGTCTTGTGACTGAACTGTGGCCTAAGCCATTTCATGACACAAATTGTCTCAAGCATTTGTCAAGTGACCTATAATCAACTTTTCAAGGTCTCTCAAATAATAATTGTACACAAACATTCCATTAAGAAGTCCATGGAAGGAGAACCAATTTGAAATTCATAAATTTTATTTCAGAAAGATTTGTTATACTAAAAATTTAACATCTGTACTTTTAATCACAGTGTGTGCACATTTTTCCCAGTTGAACTTTGCCTTAATACACCAGTATTTCTTGTAATCCTTCCCATAATAACAAAACTCCTCCAAACTAATTTGAAATGTAAACTCTTTGGTACTAGATTAATGCTCATCTTTCTAAATTGTCAAATGCATTGATACTGCTACATAAAAACTATTGTAGCAAGTATTCCTAACCTAGTTCATTACGGATAGTCCTCAACTTACAATTATTTGTTCAACGATTGTTCAAAATTATGACAGCGCTTAACAAAGAGACAATCAATCCCTGTTCAGAATTATAGCCCTGCAGCAAAATTTTGGCATTTGACAATCTCCCCGCTCTTACAACCACCACAGGAATCCTGCAGGAGTTCTTCACTTATCTTCTCTGCTCTGCTTTCTGCTCCACTGGGTTCCACATGTTCCTCCCCAACCTCCATCAGAACTCAATTTATTTATTTTTTCCATAGATCTTCTTTAGGAAGCAGCCAAGACTCCAGACAGACTTTTTACACAGAGGTCGTGTGCTGCTAACCCAGAAACAGGTGCCAATGAATTGTGGCAATTGACAAAACGGTACCTGCTTCTGGAACAGGGCAAAGCCATGCATGAGATGGAGAGGTGCTGCAGTGAGGGCCTGAACAAGGCCACCCAGTGCTTTCCCCACTCCTGAGGCAGCCCATGCTCTGCTTAATGATCATAATGAAAAGAGCTGGCTTTATGGCAGGGATCACGTGAGGTGATCACATGGGCATCTTGCTTAATGATCATGATTTACAACTATAATGGGTATGCTCCATTACAGCTGTAAATCAAGCAATACCTGTAAACAGCAGGGAAGATATTATATATTTTCTTGGTTGATAACAGTCCTTTTACTAGTATGTAATACCTAGTGAGGAGAAGGAAGAGGAGGGATTGAAGGAAAAAGAAATATCCAGAATATTTTCTAAAAAGAAAAGAAAATGAAGATGTTCCTTTGCTATTGTTAGATTCTATAAAATCAGCACTATGAAATTTAGAATTTTTGTTAGGACACTTCATGTTAATGTTAAAATGGAAAGGGGAGAATGAGATTGATAAGAAGTCTTCAAGTTAGCTGATGTCATGAACACTAGCATTCCTTTTATGCGACTCCGCCAGCATAGAGGTTGCTGACTGTGCTGCTCACCCCCTGTCACGCTGGTCATATTGTGTTCCCTACATCTCCTCTCAGCATAAGGTGACATAAAGCTGTTTCATCGTCTTCCTCACATGACCTGTTAAGAAGCATCATTCATAGTTTAAGGAGATTCTCTTCCCCAGCAGTTGCATGATAATATTATGGTTCTGAATTAATAATACAGAAAGAATAACAACAGATGACCATCAACTACAAACCTATCAGAATATAAAAATGAATTAAATTAGTAATACATCTCCATTAAATAGAGAATATCACATGAAACATGCTGTGGTTTTAATAAACATGACAAAAGTAAGAAATCCAAATTTGCACTCATATGTAACCTTCCAGCATTCCATTTGTATCCTCTCAGCATGTTTAGATCTTGCTGCTTAGGTTCAGCAAAACTGGCTGAATTTGGGAGTGGGTTGTTTAAGGATATAAAGGGAGTATATTGTTGGGAACAGCTGCCTAGAGTCATTTTATAGAGGAGATGAGTGGGATAAAAATTTAATAAATAAAATAAAAATAAAACATTTATGCTCCCATCTTTTATCCTTTAACTCTCCTAAAAGGTGAAAAAAATAGCAACACATTTCAACAGACCTCTTTCAGTGATATTTCAGCATCAAATGATAGCCTCCTGTGGCATTAAGAAGTTCAGAGGGATTGGTGCATCATCCTGTTTTTACAAGTACTGCTCACAAGCTTTTATGGAGCATAAGGGACACTGTTTTTACTTTTTTATTGTTTTTTTAATCTGAATTCTGAAAATTCTTCATTAGCTCCATTTCATTATATCGATATGTATTTTCAGAGGAAAGACTTCAGATATTGCATTTTCAAATAATATATGTATGTGTGTGTGTTTTTTTTTTTCTTAAGTTTTCGTGGGTATTTATATGTATGGTATTCAGCTTTGTTTGGGTATTTTCCCACGTCATTATAGTTGTGCTTTTAAAGTTGAAACCTAGCTTCCTAATAAACGATAGTTGGCCATTCACCCAAAGCCAAACCGTGCTGAAAGCCCCCAATACACGAAACACCATGTTGCCAGCTAATCAAGACCAAAAAAATGCTACAAAACAAACAGAAGATATTAGAAACACCAATCAAACAGAACACAGCAAACTCCAAGACCAATAAACACAGACCAAGACTCCCAACTAATCAGGATGAAGAAAAAAACATTATAACAAAGCACGAGGCTAGCACCAAATTTAAAACAGAAATGGCTGCGAAATCCTGACTCACAGACGAACACAACACAGAAGCCTGATGATGGCAGATGAGATTCTGCCGAAACGTCGCCACAACCTTAAAAGCACAACTATAATGACGTGGGAAAATACCCGAACAAAGCTGAATACCATATATATAAATACCCACGAAAACTTAAGAAAACAAATATCAGACCTCCACGGGGAGGAAATAAACAGCCGGACCAAAACCTAGGAGAAGCTGGAAGTTAAAAGATCAGGAATACCATGTGACCTCAAATTCCTACACAGCTGCAGTGATAACAATGCAATACTGATCTGCTTCAAATTAATATTTCATCACAGCACAGCAGCTACCAAATGTATCCTGAAAAGAACCGAAATGGGTCTACTCAGGAACGAGCTCCACTGTAAAAGATTCTAACTTGACCAGTTAAACAAAGACCTCCTAACCCTACAGCTGGAATTGAGCAACAAAATCCACCTTCTACTTTGGGACAAGATAAAACAATTTACAACTTGGAGAGCTGAAACTGAAACCACTAATAAAAATGACAAACTCCTGAAGAAACTAAAGAAATTAGAACATGATAAGCCCCTAATAACCCACAACAACACCTGAAAAAATTAGTATATAACATTTCCAACAGAGAACTCACCAAAACAGAAACAGATGTCCTAACCAAAGGATTCAACTATGCTATAGCACCCCAAAAAATCCTCACAGAATCCACCATATGCGGAGTGGAATCCAGCCTAACTAAATTAAATACAGATGAAGCTGATAGAATAAAACACCAAGTCACTAACATCCTATGCACAGGCAAACCACCCCAAAGCAACTTGCACAAAGAGGAACAAAAAGCCCTGCAAGCCCTAAAGAATGCAGTAGCATAATCATACTTCCAGCAGATAAAGGTAATGCCACAGTAGTAATGGACAGAAAAGACTATGAAACAAAACTGACAGACCTACTCCAAGACTCCACATACAAACTATAAACACGGACCCAACCACATATCTGGAAAAAATAACCAAGAAGAAAATCATAACCAGCAACATGAACAAAGATGATCCAAACTATCTAACTTACTCCAAGTCCCTGCTTACACACCTCTAAATACAGACCCCACCACCTACCTGGAAAAAACCACCAAATCCAAAATAAAAGCCTCTCCCATCAGTGAAGAGATCCAGCAAAGAATCATCCCAAGAGAAAAATCTTCTGGATGCCCCAAACTATACGGCCTCCCAAAAATACACAAAGAAGGCATTC